CAAGATAGACCAGTGGTTTTGATGTAACATATGAGAAGTTCATTGATAGGGTTTCATACTACCATATGTTGATCTTTGTATAATAACAAAGAACAGAATACCTGCAATTATCTGAAAAGGTCATTAAAATACTCACTCCTTTTCCAACTACTTATCTGTGTGAGGCTAGACTTTCTTCACATATACACTTCAACCAGAACAATATATCATAATGCATTGATTACAGAAGCAGAGATGAGAATTTAGTTGTTTTCTATTAAATCAGATATTAAAGAGATTTGTAAAAATGTAAAACTCTTCCCATTATACATATTTTTGTTTTGAATAACATAGCTATTTCTCACAAAAAATGTCATTTTTGTAAATGTTTATTTGAGCTTTTGGGTTAAAATAAAATTTTACTGCTTAAAAATTGTCATTGTTAACTGTTTTTTTGTTTATTATTATTTTAATGAAATAAGCAAATATTAAAAAATTTCTTAGTTATAATTTCTAATATAGTAAATATTGATAGGTATAAGCACATAAACAAAAGGTATTTGGAGTCCTTGATAATTTTTAGTAGTGTAAGGAATTCTGAGATCAAAAAGTTTGAGAATAGTTAACCCTAGAGGTATAAAAATGAAAGAATAAAAATGAGTCCTCCTTCATACATCTTTTCTTTGGTTCCTGGTCCCTGCCACTCCCACTCCTAAAGCTGGAAGCAATTTTCCTTCTTCTGAAATTCCATAATACATTTACTTCTATCCTGTTAAAGCATTTAGCATATTTCTTATGTTCCCACCTAGGCTAATATGTTTTTTGACAACACAGACTATATCTTATACATTTGCATATTCATCAGCACCTGATGCATTGTTTCCCATGTAGTAGGAATTTATATAGGTGAATTGAGTAACTTAAAAATTCTGTATCTTAAAATCACTTCAGTGGTTTAGAAGATTGACTGAAGATTCTGAATCGCCAGGGTTCTGTTGTTTCTTAAACAAATAAAATCACAAAAGGATCTCTGTTTAACAAAGGGATGCCAAATTCTAGCCAATGGGCTATTGATTTCAAGCAGTAGTTAAATGATTGATTGGTCATTCACTCAACAAACACTGGTTGAGCACTGTGCTGGTAAGAACAAAGATGTTTCTGTAGAACTTTATAGTAGACATTTAGATTAGTGGTTTCTGAATGCTGGCCTCTGATGAAGTTTCTTCGGTTCATAATGATGAAATGAGAAAAAGAGCAACAAAAATGAAACTTTTTCCCACAAAATTAAATGTATTCTACTTAAAAAAATGTTCTTTATCTTGAGATTGGTAGTTCCTAGTTCTTGGTATTAACATAATCTTTCTTTTCTGATACTATGGTGAGATTAGGGTTTTGAGATTTATTTGTTTTTTTATTATCCTTACTTGACAAAATTCAAATTTGTCAACTCTCTTGGCTCTTGCTGTTTTGGAGGGGGAGGGGAGCATTTTGCTAGCTTTTGGAAAACTACTGATGTGGACATTCCTTTGGCATTTATTGGGAAGGGATTTGACCTTTAGGTTTGACAATATATAAGTACCGTGTGCTGATTGCACCACTGGAGCTCCAAAGGCTTGACAATATAAATCCAGTGCTACAATCAGCCAGCCCATTTGTTTTGGAGCTAATTACTAACTTTGTGAGTTTTCTGGATTCCCTGTTTATAACATCTCTCTTTGGCAGTTTTTTATTCAACTGCAGGGAAAAAAATAAAAGGAAAAAAAGATAAACCCAAAGCAAAACACTAGCAAACTAACCTGAGTCAGATTTTTGGATGTTCGAATTCTTGGGATGGGGGGTTGGGGTAGGAAGAGGGAGAAGTAGAGATTTTTGATCAAAATAGGACATTTGAATTATCTTTAGATTTCAAGTCAGGTTGCATTTTCAATTTCCCACCTCTTCATAGGAACTGCTAATAATTGCATAATTAACAGATTTTAATTCAGATTGTTACCTTTAAGCACTATTAACAGTTGAGATGGCAGGGAATAGCCTCATTGGAAATGATGATCCTAAACAATTGATTCCATAGAATTGATCATTTACATAGTCAGTTTTTCACTGAGTAAATGAATGGCTGTTATGTGCCAGGTACTGGGATACAAAGATGAAAAAGACAGTGTCACCGTCCTTAAGAAACTTACGATGTAGAAGAGGGACAGATAAAAGCAGACCAGTTTCCTGAAAATTGTTACAAGGGATGCGATAGTATATTTGGTGCTATGCTGGGGACTAGAATTGGAGAGGTTGGGAGTGTTTGCGAAGAGGGTAAGGGTATGGAATGAAGACATGGAGGTGGAAGTAGGAAACAGCTGGCCTGTTGGGGGAAATTGCGAACATGTTGACATGGCAGGAGTGTGGGCTGGGTTTCGATTTGGAGGTATGGCAACAGAAAAGGCTGATGACTTAGACAGCAGGTAGATGTAGAACTTTAATTGCTTTGTTTAGGAATTTGGACTTTATCTAAAGGATTTACCAGAATATGTTCTTTGGAATAGCGATAGGACAGAAAGGGGTTTTGTATGGTCAAAAACATTTCAGAGGTGCCAATTGAGATAAAGTTAAGCAGATGTATGTACTGTAGGCCTCTCAGACCTTTTCTATTGGGTAGCATTTACACTACTATTTGACTATTAATACTAAACTTGTTTGAAGGGTTATCTTGTGTTTCTGAGAACATGGTTTGGGGAACCCTGCAATTTGCAATGGGAAATCACCATAAAGTTTTGAGCAGGAAATTATAGACAATTATGTAATCTAATTGTTTTCAACACGTAGTGTGATATTGCTCATTAGGTATTGTTCATCCAGTATTTTTTGACTGCCACTGTTTTCAAAATTTTGTACCAGATATTCTGGGAGATTAGAAAGATGCGTCTTGTCTTTCAAAACAAATAACATGTTATTTATCTATAAATGTTATTCATCTGTGCAATTATTTGAGTCAAGGGCAATGCAAAAGTGATGAAATTGAGGATAAACTTGGAGAATTATGGATTTTCTCGTGGTCGTTGCTCAGTGCTGATTTCTACAGGGTGTTTAGTGCTAATTCTTCTATAGATTGTCACCACTCAGAAGCATGTGCTTCTTTTGTCCTCTTTTGGAGTAGAGTTGTTTCTGACTAGGGTCCTCACTCAGACATTTTAGGGAGTACAATAGGGAGAAAGCTGCAAAATGGAAACTTGAATTTTTTTGTGGGGGCGGGTGTTGGCAGGGAGTACTTGTTGGTCTGTTTGGTCCTCAAAAGTATCATGTCATCAACATATCGAAGTTTTGGTAAATTCAAGTTGAGTCAACTCCACACATCTTTAGGATATATCATAAAAGTATATCCAAGGAATTTAGAGAAAAATTTTGAAGGTGATAGAGAAGTCGAAGATGCACCTGGTGGAACAGAAAGATCAAATTTAGAAATCTGAGAATGTCTCAGACTTTTCATTTCCTTAACTCCCTACCATTTTCCTCTCAGTGTCAAAGGAGAGAATTTTCAAATAATCTTGAATTAAGCTTCCTTATTACATGTTCATCACACTACCTAGTAGGGAAACAGAATCGGAGTATCTAGAGTGGGTTGGGGCAACCTAAGGCTTTTTGTTGCCAGTCGTGTAGTGATCCAGAGCACTGGCCTTGGAGCTAGATGGCCTGAGTTTGCATGTGTTAGATTATCCAATTATTTACGGTCTAGGCAAATTACAAATTACTCCCTCTGCCTCAATCTCTACATCTAAAAATGGGAAAATGATAGTATGTGCCTCATAAGGTTGTGAGGATTAAAAGAGCTAATAAATATGAAGTGCTCAGAATGGCACATGCCAAGTGCTTAGTTAGCTATTATCTTTAGGATTTCTTTATCTTACTCTTTTCTTTATGATAATTCACTGTGGAAGTCCATCGAAGTTTTATGGCCTAAATAGGATTCTTTGGAGAATGCCTTGCTAACTCTACGTAGGGTCGGGTATAAATGGACGGTTAGAATTTTCTCATACAATTAAAAAGTATGGCAAATATTTGGCATATTTAAATAATAATAGCAAACATTTCCTGAGCAAAGACTATGTGCCAGGAGTTTTCCCAAGCACTTTTTACCAATTAACTTCTTTATTTTAGAGTTGAGGAAACTGAGGCACTGAGAGGGTAAGTGACGTGTGCAGGGTAACACAAAGTTAGTTATGGGCATGGCCAGGGTTCAAACCCAGACAGCTAGGTCCATAGCTCACACACATCCATTGTGATATATGATCTTTTGTGCAAATGTATTATGTATTTTACATCTGTTTGTCAACATGTTTTATTTCATTTACTGCAAACATAAATTAGGTGGAAAACTTCAGCTACAGAATAATTTTGTTAAAACACTTCGGCATCAAAATATTACTTTTTCTTTTCTGGAGAAGAGTTACTCCTGATGTCACATGTTAGGGCCGTATTAACTATGATTCTTTTGTTCTGTGGCAGTATAAGATTATGAGTTTGATTTAAACAAGGCATCCAGATGCATACATCCATTCTTTAGAACTGTTTTTCACTTTACATTTTAGATGTATATTTTCAGAGTAGTTTGTGAGTAAGGCCACTTTGCATGCATTTTGCAAACTTAGCTTTTTTTACTATCTTTGCAGGTATTAAAGTAGTTAGGATTGTATTAAATCCTGACCTATGAAATGCATCTTCGTAGGGTTCGAAACTGGACAACAGTGTGATAGATTGTATTTTTTGCCTTCTTCGGTAAAAAAAGACGAGACTCCTCTAAAATCACTTAGTTGCTCCACTTTGTTGGTGCTAATGTAGCACTTCTGCGTCCTCTCTTAAAAAAACTGGGCAAAACTGATTTGCCACTAGATGGAGCCCTGGCTATTTGGGTAGAAATAAAGGCAACACAGACTCTTAAATCACACAATCATATCATGCTGGAGGGCCCCTGGTATTTGCGGCCCTTAGCTTTTAATTGTAGAATGCATCTTTGTTCTTTCCCTGACCTGCAGAGTGACATCACTGCCTTTCTTCCTGTGCTCTGGCTTTGACACAAGCCAGATGGCCACAGTGATCGGTAGGCGCCCAGGCTGCCTGGTACAGCAGTTGATGAAACAGAATAGGAAGACGTTTTATGGTCAGCTGTGGGAGCACAATGAGGCTGCAGCTTTGCTAAGTAATTACATTTTCCGTGCACACTTTATTCCTCACAGAGTAGGGTTACAAGGAAAAAAAATACATTTTTATTTATAGTGTTGTGAGGTATAGACCTTTGATCTTTTATTAGTCAGTAGTCTGCTCCAAAGGAATGCTCTCTTTCCCCTGCTCTGCAGTCACTCGTGAAAATGACATGTTTATTTATGTTTAATGGTTCTTTCAGTCTGTGCATTGTGATACTTACCTTCCCTCTTCCTCCCCTTTGTCTCCAGTTAGTAACACAAAAATATTTTAGTCTTGTAGTGAGTTTAGCTTGGAGAAGTCAGAGTTCAGGCATGTTAATACAAGCAGATTTCTGTCAGATATACTCCAGAGTGATTTGGTAAAATATATTACTGTTTATTATATGTTTGTTCTTCAAGGAGGTCAGAAGAGTCCAGGAACAGACTTTTATTTTGGAACTGGGGGTGGGCGGTTATGGTCAGGAAATGAACAAGGCATTAATTTTATATTGATTTTTGGACATTTAGTGGTTAAAGCCACTTAAAATGCTAATTTTAAATAAAATATAGGAAGTTGATATTAATCTGGTATTTTCCATTTTCATTTGAAGTTAATCTTTACCAATTGGAATCTTGTATAAAAACTTTAAAGAAAATCCTGAGACTTGAAGTTTTGTCTAAAGTTTAACATCAACACAATTTTGAGATTCTTCCACATGATTTATTTCCAAAGACTTCAAAATATTTTTACCCTTTTAAACACTAGGCTATGAATATTATTCACAGAATTGATCTAGAAATTGTAAATCATAAAATTGAATGAAAATCTGTATTTGCCGTGCTTTACTCAAACTTAACACTGTTTTAAAAGTGAAATTTCTTAGTTTTCCTTAGGTTTCTTTGCTCTCTATTAAGAAAAATGAAGCTTGAACAAAAGAAATTTCTTAATCTTATGATGTTTTAGTCTTCTCCTGAGAGGGATATTTGCAAATAATTCCTGGAAGAAAGCAGAGTGAAGTGAGGCAGGAACATGGCGTTGCAGTCAGATATAACAGGATTTTCTAATCCGTTTTCCTCTGGTTATTTGCTTTGTGCCCTGGGACCTTTGAGCCTTGATTTCCTCACATATGTATTAGGGCATAAGACCTACCTCCTAGGTTTATTGTAAGAATTAAATGATACAACGTGTATATTAGACTCCAGACAGTTCCTGTCACATGGTACAAATTTACTAAATGCTAATTCCTTTCAACTGTTTTAAACATTGTCTCTTTTCTCAACCTCTTGCCAACGGAGTTCACAGGTTACCCTGCTATTAAATAGTGTGTATTTTATCCATAAGATATAAATAAGCCTAGGTTAAAAGTAAGCTCACTGTCTGAAAAATGGGCATTTGAAATTTATTAGCACTGTATGTGTTTAGTTCCAGATAAAACTGTAACCATCAATTGTGCAATGAATGTGTTTAACATTTGTGAAATTTTAATTTGTGTTTTTTTTTTCTCCTACTCAGCTCTTGCCCCTGTTCTTTGCCTCTCGTTTTGTTGGTGAAGATATCACAGTGATGTCTGCCTTCAACTTGCTGCATTTGGTGACAAAGAGCCAGCCAGTAGCCCTTCGAGCCTGTGGGCTTCCCTCAGGTTGCTGCTTGTTGTACTGTACATAGTGAGGGCACTGGTCTGAGTGGGTGTTTCTGCTGCAGGAAATGATACACCATGAGGCTTTGCTAAATTCCGTTTTCTTTTTCTTGGGCCCTAATTTGAAGAAGGAAATTGGTTATAAATCACCACTCTACTTTGAGTAACATTCATTTCCACAATCCTTACAACCCTTGGAAACATTGTCCAGTTTCCTTGCCCAGTATATAATTGTCACTAATATTTCATGATATCTTCTTGTTCTTTAATGCACACTACACATCTGCAAATCATAATGTTCATAAGAGGCTGGCAATCTTAGTAAGAAACTGCCCCAAATCACACAAAATAGGACATTCATCTTGTTAAAGGATAATGAAAATGCTTTTCATTCCACATGTGGCCATTCCTTTAGGAAAAAAAATGAAATGAATAATTTTAGCATAATTAAGTTATTTATTGTAGTTAAAATGAAAAGCTGTTCTACTTAACAGTGATCAAATAAATAGAACTAATATAACATGTGTCAACTGGTTCTTAAATTAGAACTGTTACACTTTTTAAAAATGTGATTTTAAGCATTTAAGCAAGTGAGGCATGGAAGTCCAAAATTTCATATGTGCCTATATTGTAAGTTTAATGTTTTAAATTTATTACGAAAACCACATGGTCAAATATTTTATTTCTGTGAACATGATTATCAATATTATTTACATTTCCCATTAATGTAAATATCTCTATTACTACATTATATAGTTTAATTCCAATTCATTAAACATTTTCTGAATATTGACTATGAGTGCCAAGCATTGTGTTAAGCAGTGAGGATACAATAATAAAGAAAGAAAAGCTGATTTTTTTCAATGAGTACAAGGTGGAAATGGAACTGTGTGAGGACCATTGAACCATAACACCTGTGTACTATAGGTATTTATGCTTGGATTGTTATGAGAGTTCAGAGGAGGATGGTCCCAGCTCTTTTCTTTAGGGGAAGAAATTTTGTAGGGAAGGGAAGGTCTCTGAAGTTTAAGGAGAGCTCCATGGAGGATTTGGTGCTTGAGCTAAATCTCAAACCATGAGCAGCAAGTTAGCCCGGTGTCCAAACACCATATCCTCCATGCAGCCCCCCTTAAACTTCAGAGACCTTCCCTTTCCTACAAAATTTCTTTAATTGAAATATGAGTATCTTTAAATTTTGGTAACAAAATGATTGAAAGATAAATTCAACAAAACTGATAATTTTTAGGAAGTAGCTATTATAGCACAATGCTTAAGCAAACACATTCTGGAGTCAGACTAACTGGGTTTGAAATCTGGTTTTGCCATTTAAACTAGCTGTGTGCCTTAGCTTCTTTATTTGTAAAATGGGGATAATAATAGTGCCCATCTGAAAGGGTTGCTATGAGAATTAAATAGATTGGAATGTGAAAAGTGCCTAGAACACTGGCTGTCATATTAGTAAACACTGTATATGTCTTCACTATGTTCACTATAGAAATCCATGTATGTATATTAATATACATTTACATTTTTCCAATACAGTAGACTTTTAAAAACACTTAAATGTGTCCCAGCTTTCATTTAGCTATTTTTTACTTTCATAGGACTCACAAATGCACTTTACGTTTGAGAAATAACCATCTCAGTCTGTTGTTCTGATCTCTTTATTTTACTTACATATCCTGCTGAACCAGAATTCAAGTCCTATAAATATATAACATTCTTTTATTCTTATTACCCAAATACTAATGAAAGCCCAGAGAAACTCTCTTTCTTACTGAAGGCTTGTAAGCCCATGTTAACTTGATAAATGAATTGGCTAGAATCATATTCAGTAATTCCTTAAACATTCAAGCACTACTTAATTTTTAAGTGTTCTGAATGTCAGTCTTCCAGTGTCTACATATTTTATAACTTGAATATTAGCAAAATCTTTATCGACCATTTCTTTAACTCTTAGATGTATAGAAATGTTGAAGAAATTAAGTTGAACAATAATGAAACAAACTAAATTTTGAAAAATAAAAATGAAATTGAGATGAGAATTCTAGTTCTTATTACTTTATACGGGTAGGGAGAGAAGAAGCCAAAATTAGAGATACAGGAAATTACGGGGAAAGTTTGAAGTCTTGCTTTAATTTACTGTTCCCTGGTAAAAACCCATTACAACAGAAATCTCTGTAAATCAAAAAGATTTCTGTTCCCTAGCCAGTGCCCTACCAATTTTGAGTATTATTCAATATGAAATAATTCCAGAACTAAAAAATAATTGGAACAGGCTCTTAAAGTTGGCTATAACAGGATTGACCTGCATGAAGGCCATATCCCAGAAGAGTGATCTATTATTTTTCAGCTTTGACTTCCTTTACTTCTTATTTTTTAGTAAAGCATAATTTTAATTTAAGGCTTATTAAGTGCATGTGAATTACTCATGTTTCTAATTTAAGGTAATTTTCCTCTCTCAGAATTTCTTCTTAATTTCCTCTAACAGTTTTTCTTATGTATTAAAAAGAGCACTGGAATAAGAGTCAGAAAACTCTAACCATAGCTCTGCCTTTAACTTGTGTGACCTTGAACAAATCAATAAACCTCTCCAGATCTCAGTCTCTTCATCTTTAAAACAAAGAATTAAAATTAAATAATCTATTCAGTTCTTAAATTCTATGAATTTTTTAACTGTCATTTGTTTTTACTTTTGGTTTTTGGCTAATCAAATCTTAGAACACAATACTAATTAATGCTGGGAACTTACAGAAAAGTCTGCTGGATTGTGGTGGGAGGACACAGATATTTTCCATGTTTGAACATTAGAATTCCTTGCCTCTAAATCAAGACTGAAGCATTATCTGAGGAGGGATTAGGAAGCACAATTTTATACATAGTTTTAATGCTAGATAAAAAGTAAGTATAATTGTAGCTTCAAACTAGATATCATGGTAGCTTTTAGCTAAGTGAAGGTGAAATAAATAAAATTTGTCTAAATAGTACTGATTACAGTGATAAATTATACTTTTCTCTAACATCATACACATAATAATGTGGTTGTGATTCTTATTTGACTTCAGTGGCATATTTAACAGGCTCCATTAATTGAAGAGCCACATGGCTATTATGTGTTTTATAAAGGTATAATAGTATTCTAATGTGGAAATTAGACATCTTAGAGATAGTTTTAAAATGGTGTTTGAAGGTCGTAGAATATCGTCTGTATAACTAGAACTCTGTGAATCACAGGCTTATAGCTCCAGATCTTAGCACAGTGCCTGGCACTTAATAAATGTTTGTTAAATGAATAAATAAACATTTGAAAGTTTATATGTAGCTGAAGTCGTAACTAACAGAGAATACAAATTTATTTGAGACTGCTTTATATAGGAGGATTAAAAGTAAAGTTCATGGTTTGGTTGGCTTTTGAATTTATTGTTAAAAACAATTTCTTTTTTTTCACTTTATTGTGTTAATACAGTATAGGGGATGCCATAGGTATAAATCACATTGCAGCTAAACAAATAACAAAAAATTGTAACAAATTCAATGTGTGTTATCCAGAATTGCTTTTACTTTTTCTTTCAAATAATTTGAGTGTTGGTGGTAAATTGTTTGAGGAAGTGAATAAGTGCATATTTTACTTATCATGAGAATTAAGAACTCTCTTTTGATTGCTTCTTTGGAGCAAATTAATATTGTTTGTTGTGTTTTAAATTCTCCATTTGTAAAAAGAAAACACTACAGATATGCATCAAAGCAACATCCATAAGTAAGAAATACTTATTATTCAAGTGTAAGCTGGCAATAGTTCATTAATAGCAACTGATGTATTCACTTTAAAAAAAAATAATTGAAGTCGTCAGTGTGCTGTTCACTTACTGAATAGATTGGCTTTCTATATTAGTTTTTCAAAACCTTTTCTGAGTCATGACAATACCGACCACCTCCACAGTTCTTTGATAAAAGTTATGACCTTACTCCCCAGAAAAGACACGTATATATCTACACACAATTTTTCACATAATTTCAAGAAATTTTTTGTTAGATCTTCTGAAACTCTTCAGGGAAGGCTCTTTGACCACATGTTCAGAACCTCTGTTCTAAAAGATACACATGAAACCAATATAAAATTCTGATTAGAACGTAGTGCTTCTGATTTCTGTATTGGTGTCACCTACGGGATTTTCCCCCTTGTGTTCAGGTCGATGCCCTCAATTCTTCAGTTTCATCATTCTTACATGTTCATCTTACCTGACTTCCTTGATTATATTAAAAATGCTTTGGGCAAGTTTTTTTTTTTTTGAAAGAAATAGTTTTAAAAAATAGGCATAAAAATTCCACTCATAATAATTCACAAAATAATTTGCAATTAGTTGATTAAATAGTATCCCCCTTTTCCAGTAGATGGCACTAGTTTTACATTCTTTCACAGCATGAACGATTCCTGATATCATTAGCACATAGGTACATTGTGAAAACTTAAACAAAAGTATGTAAAGAGTATCCATTTAAGAACATATGGATTTATAAACCACAAATTTTTCTGCTTATGTTATGTTCAAACAGTATTTGTAGAGTGCAAAACCTTTTTCCATTTTCAATAGGATTCCAACTGCTTTATGCTTGGACATCTCATAGAAATTGTCTTTCATGTGTAGACTTTCTATAAACTAAAACAAGTTTTCATAAATTAACTTATCTTTTATCCAGATAGCTGATTTAACAGTAATTTATAGTTTTATATGCAGCTAAATTTTCTTCAGCAGACCACCCAAGAATTAAAGAAAATTTCACATTTTGTTTCGCTATGGTTTGAATTTTTATAGAATCTTGAAAATGTTATTAGTTTAACATGTTGACTGTTAAGCATGAATCATTTTTGCATGAGTTAAAATATTTTAGGAAACTAAGAAAAATTATGTTTAGAATGTTGATTAATGAGTACTCTGATACAGCTATATTTTTTCTAAAACGAAATGTTTTAGATGTTCTATGATACAGAGTTTTCGTTAATG